TCCGGCTGCCGAAGCTTCTTCCTCCAGCCACCGCCGGCCAGCCCACCTCTCTCTGTCACCCGGCAGCTCGCGGCCAGTCCCTACTACAAGCCACCTGTGTAGGCAGCACAGGCTGCCCGATTTTGTCTACCCGTCACGGCTTTCCTCTTTGCAGGGAGGCCCCCCTGCAAAGTGCCGTTCCAGGCAAACGCCTTATTTGCCTCGTGGCAAATATGCCCCTGTATACACACACAGATAGTCCATGGTCCCATCGCACTCCTGACCTCATAAATAATATATATCTATACATACATACAAATATGTCAGGTGACTGACATATTTGTATGGGGGCTGTAGAGCCGGCGGATCGCTTGTATGGGGTAACGATCGGTGCCCCCCCCCACGCGGTCCACCCTGCCGGTGTCCAGCTGATCCCGGGCTCTGCTGTGCCCGGTGCGAGCCCGGGATCAGCATGGCGCCTGTGTCAGAGGGGATCAGAGGGAGATCGGTACACGAGCTCCCTCCAGTCCCCTCTCCTCTGCAAGAATGCGGAAGTGTTGTATAATACATCACTTCCTCATTCGTGTGTCACTCTCCAGCTTCAGAAGCTGATGGAGCACATCTGTGCTTCATCAGCTTCTTTTGATCACAGCGCTGAATACTGAAAAATGGCCTGGACAGGAAGGGGGTGAAACACCTGGTATTCAAGCAGTTAAAATATAATTTAGTATAATTTCCATTATTATTCAACAACATTTCTAAAAACGATGCTAACCATGCGCAAAGTGCACAGCCCCCTTATCATCTTAGAAACTGTTCTCGGAGGTTGACATCTCTGAAGCTGTTTGTGTTACCATGGCAACCAAATTCTACCTTCCATTCCCCAGAGATGTATGAGAGGAAGGATCGGATTGGTTTCAAAATGCAATATGAACAGTTGTTCCCTCGTATTCATAATAAATACTCTAAAATACAAGATGCCTTATTTAAGTCCAGTGAAAGGGTATATATAGTCAAAAACTAATAAATAGGTATTTCACATTTCCATAAGTTCTATCCCACTCCTAATAACCATATCAGTCTAGAAGTTTGTAAACTTACTTATTAAAGATGCCCATAGGATGTACTTCCTCAATGCAGTGACACAATTCCACTCAGCCCTGTGAATATGAACCTCCTGTGTCACAACTCTAACTAAGCCTGCCTTCTAAACTACGACTCAATGTCTGAATGTGTCTTAATGCAACATCATCATTGCTTGCTAGAAGCAATGCATGGTGGGATATGTAATCCTGAGAAATTGCATCACATCAAGCAGCAGGGAATCAGACGCAAAGCACACTAGGAATCCAGGAAATTGTTGAAAGTGATGGGCAGACAGAAGGTAAGCACTAACTACATAAAAGGGATTCTTTCAAGTAAGCTTTGATTGCATTATCAGAAACAACTATGTATTCCTATTACAATGCTGATGTTATAACAGGGTTATCTGCACATTTATGTCTAAGGGATCTTTGTAACGCACTTTTAATTACTTGATCCCTGCTCCTACAGCCTCTTCCCCCTGTGCCCTGGTGCTTGAAGGCCTACTGATGTCATCATGTGCAATGCAGGGTCCATAGCCTTGCATGATAGGCGAGGATGCCAAGGGACAGTCCACGAATCAGGGTGGAGGGGAGACAGGTGAGTGCCAACTTCCAGGGGAGCAGGGATCAGGAAAGTAACTGTGCTTTATACCATACGCCTAGGCAAAAATGAGCAGTTAACCCTTGCAGTGCCTGGGGTAGCTCCACTGCAAGGGAATTGTGTTTTTTATACCTGTAGATGGGTTCTACATGTCTAAACAAAGAGCGCAGCTTGATGTCTGCATGCAGAGATCCCTTTACTCTCCCACATCGCTTTAGCTGGCAAACTGTCACTATGAAAGTTAATATCATTGCCAACGAACAATTTTAGACCCAGGCAAAGCCTGTTTCATAAACAAGCAAAAGTCATTTCAAAAAGGTAGCCAAACATACAGACAAAATAAAGTCATGCAAGTGTGTATAATATGATCTTGTTTGTGTCACAAAGTAAAAAATGACCTGGAAAATGATGCAGTTAAGAGCAGCAGAATGACTATGCTGATACTTAAAGGAGGACTCATAAGAATAAGTGCTTACTATTTGTGTCTTTTGAAGCCCTGCTTGGCATTAAAGTAATGACCCTAATCTGAGTTTGGCTAGTTTATAGCACACATTGTCTGCTAGTGACACAAGCATCTGATCTGTGTGCTCTTATAAACCGTACCCTCACCCAAATTGAATTCACCAGCTGAGTAGGTGGGAACTCAAAAAAAAAAAAAGCCATTTAAGCTACTCGCAGAATGTCAAACTTAAAGGGTTTCTAAACCCTCCGTTTTTTTATGCCTATATCTACTGCTAGCAAGCAAGTTTTTTTTTTAAACTGCTTTAACAGCGGTTTAAACTTACCCCGTTTTCACCGCGCACTCCCGCCCGAGAATCCAAAACTGCTTGGGCGGCCCCAAAGCATCCTGGGGCGGGCGCATTGCGCAGTTCGGATTTTCGGGCGGGAGACCAGCAGAGACGCAAGGTAAGTCTATGGACGCGTGCACCCGCATGCAGACACCGCGGGATCGGAAGTGCCAGCAAGGACAGAGGAGTCAGCGCTGGATTGGAGAGCCGCCGCACCGCTGTAGGGACAGATGAAAACATCAGGAAAGAAGAGGAAGATTGGATAAGAGACATCAATTTAAAAGGTAAGTGCTGACATTAACATGGGGGGAGGGAAAAATGTTTTGACTTTAATGTCACTTTAAAGGAGAACTATGGGGTCAGGGCTTTTCCTCATAGTT